AGCAGAATGAAGAAATACCAGAGGTCACATCAGAGCATGTCAAAGGAAGCTTAAACCGTGCTCAATCAGCACAGTCTATAAACTCAACAGCCTACCCGAGAGGATTGTTTAAAAAGTGTGTCCTCAGAACCTTTACTGTCTGTTCGGGGAAAAGGTGTTCTGCTGAAAAGAAAGTTGTCCCTTTTAGAACAGGATGTGATTGTGAATGAAGATGGAGAAAATAAGCTTAAAAAACAAGGTGAAACTCCCAATGAAGTCTGTATGTTTTCATTAGCTTATGGCGATATTCCAGAAGAACGAATAGATGCCTCAGATTTTGAGTGCTCTCTTTGCATGAGGTTGTTTTTTGAGCCAGTGACAACCCCTTGTGGACATTCGTTCTGTAAGAATTGTCTTGAGCGTTGTTTAGATCATGCTCCATATTGTCCTCTTTGCAAAGAAAGTTTAAAAGAGTATCTAGCTGATAGGAGGTACTGTGTCACACAGCTGCTGGAAGAATTAATAGTGAAGTATCTGCCTGATGAACTGTCTGAGAGAAAAAAAAATATATGATGAAGAAACTGCTGAACTCTCACACTTGACCAAGAATGTTCCAATATTTGTTTGCACTATGGCCTATCCCACTGTGCCTTGCTCTCTTCATGTATTTGAGCCAAGATACAGACTGATGATTCGAAGAAGTATACAAACTGGAACCAAACAGTTTGGGATGTGTGTCAGTGATGCACAGAGCAGTTTTGCAGATTATGGTTGTATGTTACAAATTAGAAATGTACATTTCTTGCCTGATGGAAGGTCTGTGGTTGATACAGTTAGAGGAAAGCGGTTTCGGGTTTTAAACAGAGAAATGAAAGATGGATATTGCACTACAGACATCAAATATCTGGAAGATGTAAAGGTGGAAAATGAAGATGAGATTAAGAATCTCACAGAACTTCATGATTTGGTATACTCTCAAGCCTGCAGCTTGTTTCAAAATTTAAGAGATAGATTTCGAAGCCAAATTCAGCACTTTGGATCAATGCCCGAAAGGGAGGAAAACCTTCGGGCAACTCCTAATGGACCTGCGTGGTGTTGGTGGCTTCTAGCAGTTCTTCCTGTAGATCCCCGCTACCAGCTGTCAGTTTTGTCAATGAAGTCTTTGAAAGAACAGTTGACAAAGATACAGCATATACTAACCTATTTTTCTAGAGACCAATCTAAGTAACTAACTGCTTGGATGTTCCTTTACAGTTACCCCAGTCTGGCTGTGTTGATGGCCAGATTGTCCGCTGCCTTTGCACATCCAGTGCTGGTTTCAGAAATGTAATGAAACTTTTTTTTTCTTCAACCTCCTGAATCATGTGGTTCTGCAAATGAATACCTTCAACTAGGACTTGGACCACTAAGAACTTGCACAGAACAACACACGCTGAATGTGTGTTAAACCTCTACATTGTGTTGAAGTTGAATATGTACCATATTCTAAAATGAAATAAGAACTCTGTGTATGTCTATGGCGTGTGTGTGTGTACGCATGTGTATGTGCGCGTGTGCGTGTGTGGGTAGTGTGTGTGTGCATCTTCTCTGGCTTTAAAATTTTTAAAGAAAAAAAAGCCATAGAGAGCAGAACTTGCTGAGGGTCATTTCTTGCCCAAGTTTACAACATAGTGACACAAGTTTTTCAAATTGAATTTGCCTCAGATGTATCTGTCCTAATGCTTACATTTGCACAAGTATGTAAAATAGAGAATTGAGTATCCTTCTCCATTGGAAATACTGCTCTTGCTGAATTGTCTTGACCATTGACTATGACACAGTTTCTTATTTATGTAAGTGTTTGTATCACAGTAGCTGCCAGGCATTGGGTGCAGAACCTAGAGCCAGTTTTCTGGAACAATCATCAACCTGACATGGTACTGTGCATCTAGTCATAAAACACTTAAAACTGTGAAAATATGGTTTACATTTAATTGTATATAGAGGTAAATGGAGAACTCAATTCAGTACCAGTTAATTTGTACATTTTAGGGGGCTTTTCACATTAACTGCCCATCTATGTAATTTATAGTTTGACATGATGTGTGTGTTTTAAAAAATTACATAGTATAAACCCATTAAGGATCTGGGAGAAGAGAAGAAGTTTAATGTAGAACTAAGCTTTTAAAGTTTGTTTTGTTTTCGAATTCTGGTCTTGGTGCAAATGTTAGTTATACCTTATTCATATCACAATTAGGTCACCATGCTGCGACCTGGTTTACAATCATGTGACCCT